TTTATCCTGCAACTACCCCTTTCATTGACCTAATAAAGGTAACCTAATAAACCAAAGCTTTATCCGATCACTGTCCTTATAAAGCCTCGTGCATGTATTCCGACGTTCCAAAAGTATTGTGACGTCATGCATATTGCAATGTTTACACCATGGCGTCATAGATTCAACTGCAGAGATGTGCCTAAATCTGTTGAAAATAGGATGTTTTGGACATTCAAATGTAAAAGAATTGTTGCAGGATAAACAAAATACATGATAAGTGTCTTGAAATATAAGCGATATTTGGGCTCGGGTCGAAAACGTAAGAGGGCTCGGCAAGCCTCGCCCTCTATCACGTTTTCTTACCCTCGCCCAAATATCGCTTATATTTCAAGACAGTAACCATGTATTTTATATTTATGCATGTATGCAGGGCATACAAATACTTTAAAAGAAAACTGCACCAAAACATTAACCTGGGACGCCGTCAACGACGCAGACGCCGAGGGTATATGTATCACATATGCTCACCCAACATTTTTGAGGTGAGCTAAACATGACACCACAAGAAATTATCTATAACATATCTTTCACCTTTTAAAATCATTTGAATTGTTCGACTTCACTCCATGTATTAAGTTAATCAATCAGACCGAATGACAAAGGAAAGAGACCATGATAGTGTCTCAGAATGCGTCTCAGTGTCTCAGTATGTCAGTGTCTCAGTATGTGTCTCAGTGTCTCAGTATGTCAGTGTCTCAGTATGTGTCTCAGTGTCTCAGTATGTCAGTGTCTCAGTATGTGTCTCAGTGTCTCAGTATGTCAGTGTCTCAGTATGTGTCTCAGTGTCTCAGTATGTCAGTGTCTCAGTATGTCAGTGTCTCAGTATGTCAGTGTCTCAGAATGTCAAATTTTCAAATTAAAATTGGACAAGGTTTCCAGTGATCATTACAGTCTACTTAAGTTTGGAGTTTATCCAATGCAAAAATTAATTTTTTATTCTATTTTTTCTTCCTTTTTATCTTAGAACTTAAATTTCATTATATGACGAAAGCTATATTTTTTTCAAATGTGAAGATATAAATTAATATTTATAATTATGAAACGCAAATGTGTAACGTTAGCTTTCTTGGATAAGTCAGATTACGAAAGAGTATTATCTTTAAATTTAAAGAACAGGGGGCAGAATCTATGTGAATATAATTATGGAGAAAACGGTATTTAAGCTGAAAAAATCATTAAACAATGCAAAATAGGCGCAGAACAAACATGGACCACCGAGGTGGGATCAAATGCCTTATATGCCTACTGTTCACACCCGCCCTGTGCTCCTTGTCATGATCGGGAAATATCGGAAAAAATCCGTCTACAATTCAGTGTGTAAATAATGGCCTATGTGTTTAAAATGTGTGTTTCAAATCAACGAGACTGAATTCCATCTTTGATATTTGTCTGTCATATAAATGAATGAAACCAAAGGCCCCAATTGACAAAATGGCTTACAACCCAGATCAAAAGACAAATTAAACTGATGGCCTGTTCAAATTTTACCTTAGCTGTATCACTTTGATCATGTTTCTGGAAACTGTAACTTATATGAAAATAAACGTGTACACCTTCTGCAATGTGCATCAAAGTCAAAATGCGTAACACCTGCTTATATAAGATCGGTTTTCATTAGCATTTTATACTTACAAGCTCCTTTTATGAGCCTTAGACATGTTTCTATACAAAGCTGTACTGATTTTCATTCTTTTGGTTGAATGTAGAGCAATTCATCTTGGAAAAAATAACTTTCATGGTAAGTTTTATTTTTTTAAAAATGCTATGGTGTTCTTCCTGAAACAAACGCTGGGCTTTTTCTCGATATTTAGCTTTGTGTTGTTTAACACACATTTATTAACTTGTAAGATGTACATGTACACCTTAGTCCTATCCAAACAATATATTCATTTATTTTTTACCTACTCTAGGTGTGCATTATCCTAAGCATTATGTAAAGAACCACTTCTGTGGTAATAGTCGACCCGTATCGTTCCGACCTTTGTATGGGGAGACCATTCCAAGCTGTGATCCCCCACTTGGTCCAGAGGATGCACGATGATACGTAAGTATCAGTTGTTAGTAAAATTTAGTTTTTCTTTGCACTTTTTTTAAAGAAAGGGTAAAAGTAAGTCCTTATTTGGAAACAAAGTTTACCGATATCTGTCTCAAATTTATTTTTTAAGCACGAATATTTCCAGTATAATCTCATTATTCCAACTTTAAATGTATCATTATAATGTTTTTCTCTGTAGATATAAATATTCATAATTCTCGTCCTTACCGCTGTCCAAACAATGGTTATGTTAGTGGATACTCAGAAGTTCCTATGGATAAACACGGGAATGTGGCAGTGAGGTGTTGTAGAGGTATGTTTATTACGGAAACCGAAAAGTGCAAACCAAAAATAAATTAAGAAAAACACAATTATTAAATAAAGAAAACAAAATTATTAAATTATTTTCTTTATATGATAATTTCATTTTGTTTAAAAAATGATATCTTTTTATTTAATATTTTCGGTTTCTTTATTTTTGTAATTTCGTTTTCTTTATTTAATGATTTAGTTTTATCGTAAAATTTCGTTTTCTTCATTAAATAATTTCGTTTTCTTTAATATTATTATTTAATAATTTCGTTTTTTTTAAATTTAATTTTGCTTTGCACTATTGGGCTTCCGTATTTTATAATCCTATATTTAAATAATTTGATTTTTCCTCAGGACAGCCAAAGACAAAGCACATCAAACGTTAAATTTGCATTTCCTGTGGCCAATTTGTTAAACTAAACTTATAATAATATAATAAACTTAACCTTCACTATAAGAATTCAAAATCAACCGAAACTTTGTCTCAGAGTAGAAAGAAAAAAAACGACTTTAAAATTAAAAATTAAAATAAAATGAAACACAAGGAATGCGTGAGGATACAATTAATCCACGCCCTGTGTGATTCAACGAAAATATTATCCCATGGATTTCATACGCTTTAAGTAATCAAAATCAAAATTTAAAGAAGGCTTATATCTATAAATCTAAATTGAAAAATCAAATATTGTTTTTTTAATTATAGATACAACATTGTTAGAGATATTCTTAGATATAAAAAAGATAGAAATAAGTCATTTAAGTGAAGTTATTTGAATATTAATGGATGTATTCATTAAATGTAATTGACTGTGTTACGCTAAATCCGTATTTTATTCTTCCGCAGCGCTAGGTGTCAACTATAACGAGAGAGAATGCGTTCAGTATTTTCGACAGGAGGATCCAAAATATCCATCTCCGACTAAACCTGGATATTATCTAGTTGGATCCACTCCTCTATCTCTTCATAACGGGTAAGTATTTAAGTTTCTTTTTTCATTTGACTTTAAAAACTTTATCTCAGCAATAAAAATATTTATCTGTATTTTAAAAGAATTTCCTATCAATGTAGTTTATGTACTGTAAAATCACATATTTTAGTAGGGTCAATTTTTTAGATTTGAGGAAAAAATATTACTTTGTGGGGATTAGATTTCGTTCTTGGAGAATGTTTTGTAATAATGCATAAGAAACTTTACATTTCGTGGTGGACATAAATTCCTGGGTTTCTTCATACCTTTCAAAACAACAAAAACGACACCCCCCAACCCCATCCACCCCCACCCCCGGCATCTCCATTACAAAAATTAGTGATTTTTCAGTACATTGTCGTTGAAGGAGAATTGTTTTATTGAATACCTGAACACTGATATATAAAATATGAGAAATTAATTTATGAATATTTTATATATGTTTTCAGTGCAATATATTTTGCTCTCAAATGTTATTTATTTAAGTATCAAATTAAAACTTTATTTTTTGCTTTTTCAGGAAAGTTGGTTTTTCCAGTCTTCAATTTTTAAGTTTTCAAATGTCACAATTTGTTTTTGATGCTATATATAATGCTTCTAAGATTTGCTTCCTGAAATATGTTTCAAAATAAATGATAAATTATACTTACCATACTATACATTTAGACTGGTAAGTGTAATTATGAAATGCTTCAATTTCAGTTATTGTAAATATTGACTTTTGTAAAGCACTGTTCACATGAAGAGTTTAATTTTCAGTAAATTAATGCAAAATAAAATAATGATAATTAAATTGCGCTCACACGACAACTAAATCGAAATAAACAAATGGGAATTAAGCTTCTATTTAGCGACTGTTTTTTCGCCAAAAACCTGGTATAAAAAGTCACGGGTCTTTTGGATGAGACCTTAAAACCCAAGGTTTTGTGTCACGGTGGGCTTTTGCAAGATAAAGAACACTCACAGTTGAATGGTCCTGATTACCGAGTTTAGGTCTAAATTTGAAGCCTTTCACTGTATTTTGCTGCTATTTTTATATAAATGAAAAATCCTCGAATGGGACGTTACACAACATACAATCCATTAATCAAAAATTAAATTCTTCAACACATGTTTAGATTGAGCACTTTCTTATGTAGATTTATAATCACAGTATCAAATGAGAACTATCATTATCAAGTCGCATCATAATAGCTACGAAATATATCGCACCTGAAGAAATCAAGTCTTGTTTATTTTTTTGTCTCTCGTCTAACCATTACGGTTAGAGCATCTGCTCTAGAGTTGCGGAGGGAAGAGCTGATACAAATGTCGTGAGTTTTAATCCACTGTTGGACGTGGAGACCCATCCGTCAAATTAGACCGTATAAACCGAGGTCCCGTGTCGTTATAGGTGTATCGTATCAAAAGGTGTGCAAAACGTAATATTTACTTATCACATCAGAATAGAAATAAGTGGTAAACTGTATATTACAAACGATCATATATATTTCTCATAAACCTTCAAGTAAATAAAAATCAAAGTAAATTTGTTGATGCATTCTTTAACGGTTGTCATTCACGGCTGGGCCACATCCGAAACATCAACTGAAATCATAAAATGGCATGTCAAGCACGTCACAATTTAATATAAAAAGAATGAAGATCCAGGTTAAAGATTTAGTGCAAACCATTTCGAAGTGACGATGATGTCTCTTGAAGTATTCTGTACTCTAATTTTGGTAAGCATTTAAAATACCTCTAATTGATCATAAACTATCTATAAAGCCAATTAAGACAAAACAATGTTTTCAAATTTACAATTCACACTTACAAAATTTTTCTGTAAGATAGAATTGACAACTGTTTTTTGACAGACTGAGTTTTTTTTTGTTTTGTTTGTTTGTTTGTTTGTTTGTTTGTTTTTTTTTTTTTGTTTTTTTTTTTCAGATTTCTTTACCATGTAAAGCAATCTTTTGCTCAGAATTACATGCGTTTTTAAAGTAAATATTATTTTTTATGAAATGATTTCCATGCATTAAAAATTAAAGGAATGTTTTTAGGGTTAATTTTTCATAAAATTATAAGATAAAGCAAATTATCATCTGCAGAAGTGTCAAATGAACATAATTATAAAGTAAAATTATCTTCTGACTTATGCCAAACAAGGAAAGGTTAAGTCAAATCCCTAGGGTGAAATGCAATGTTTTATGAGTTAAGCTTTAATCCTTTTAAAATGCATACAGTATGCAGGATTATTTTCGCCCCGTCTTATTTTTGCCCTTTGAGGCTTTGACACCCGCAAAAAAGTTTATCTCCTTTTCAATTCGCCCATACTCAGATCTGTTTAAGAAGTTAAAATGGCTTATTTGAATTTGCCCCGTCTTAAATTCGCCCACATGTGTGAAGGGCGAAATGGGTGAAAATAAAACGGAGGCGAAAATTTCTATGTACGTCATTATTTGTAATATCATCTGCATGCTTGTTCTAGCATTTGGATCCTCCTCCTTCTTCTGTTTGTAAATCTTTTTGCCCCTCCGGGGGCCCAAATTGGATTAATAAAAATATTGTATCTTGTATACAGAAAATACAAGACAATTTCTTTTAGGGTATCACCCCTGCATTTGGAGGAGGTTATTTTCTAGGCAGTTCCCAAGGTAAGTTTTAATCTCCGACATTTTCTTTTTTTTTTTTAGAATTGAAGATAGATTTTGAATAAATTTAGAAATCTTTTTTATAATGGAAAATGGCTGCAATTGTTTGAAAAAGTTGCATAAATACTGCATGGAATCTTTCACATATCAAAGAAATCGCTTTTCATACCTATTGAGAATATATTTTTTGTATTGAAAGGTGTCTCAACCTAATTTACATAAATTTGTTAGGTTAATAATTTTTTGTAAAAGAAGAAGTATAATATGTTTCTTGGAAGAATTTTTAAATTATGATATTATTATAGCCCCCGTAAACGAAGTTTAGTAGGCGGGGGTGGGGTTATATTGGAATCAGCATGCCCTTCTAGCTGTCCGTCTGTCTGTGAACGAGATTTTGCCTAGTCCATTTCTCAGAAACTATTCGAAGGATCTGTCTGATAATTTTGTACACTTATTCACCATATGAATGTGTGCACCTGGTAATTTCATCTTGATAGCATGATTATTTTGCAATTTACTGGTGTTTTTTGTTATCTTTATTTTGTGGTTTTGTTTGGACCGATTCTCGGAAAATATTGAGGATTTGTCCGAAAATTTGCACACTTACTATTCACCATATTAATGTGTGCACTTGGTATTTTCAACTTTATTTATTAGTTTTTCAGCATTTTACAGGTGTACTTTTTTATTTTAATTGACTTGTTCATTTTGTGTTTATTTGTAAGGTTTGAGTCATAGAATTTAGAATATCTGTACAAAAATGTGAACCACAGCTTAAGACCACTAATTCAAACTAAATGAGACATCATTACACAGAAGAAAATGTAAATCCATTTGTCCCTGGAAATTTATGAGTGGACATGCATCCAGTTAAATATGTATTAATGAATTTGGTGTGGGAACTTGTTCAGGCATCTCTGATTAAGGATGTATTATCTATATCTTCTGGGAATTTGGCGCAAGAATTAAGGCCGGTATACGCCATGCATCTTGACACTTGCATCTTGCATGCATGTGTCAAGATTCACAGTGTAAAAGCCCCTTGTGTCAAATTAAATGGGTGTTGCATCTTGAACGATGGAATAGAACTTGTTCTATTCCGTGCTTCATGAATATAACTTGTTCTATTCCGTGCTTCAATATGCATGGAACTGACCTATGAAAAGAAAGGTCAGAGTTGATATTGAATCATGAGCCTTATTTTTTTCATATAGTTTCAAAAATAGCTTCCCAAGATACACAATAACAGAAAATACTGATTAAAGCTACAATTAGATAAACTTATTTGATTATTATAATATAGAGGAGTTTTTGTTTTGGAATAAATATAAATTATATCGTTCAAGAATTATCATAAAAAGGAAATTAAGAATGATTTGTTCAGCTAAGATAAATCTGGAAATGAAATTTGAAGGTGTTGTTATTTTTGTAAGTAGAGAAATTTCATCTTTACAAAGTATTCTAAAGATGCATGCATCAAGACACATAGTGTAAATAAGAAGATGCATGAGGCAAAATTGAAGCATGAGTTTAGATGCATGTGTCAAGATGCATAGTGTAAACCGGCCTTTAAAGATCTCTCTTCTCCAATTCTCTTAATTGTAATATATTGTTTGTCAAAGCACTTAATTGCTGGATGACCAGCTTTTTATTTTCAGAATAAATTTGATATGACGTTACCAAGATTAATTTTATTTTGTATAATATGATTTTTCTTTCAACAATTTGCAGATTGTCATGACAAATAGTTGCAATTTTCTTTTTTTTTTTTGGGGGGGGGGGGGGGGGGGGCTTTGGTTTCTCAGAAGTTCCTTACATACATGCGATTTTGTGTAGGAAATGGTTACATCATTACCAAATTTATTAAATTTCCTACTTAAATCTTCAACACTTTATACAAAGACATTCTTGAAGAAAAAAAAACAGATTGTAGATTTTCAGTATTTAATTTATTTCTTTTTCATATACATACAGGCGTTCCTTTCCCTCATCATTATGGTAAGGACAACTACTGTGCTAATGGTGGCCCAGTTTCGTTCCGACCTCGTTTTGGAGTATCCATTCCAAACTGTGATCCACCACCGGGGCCAATCGATGGGTGTATAATGATAAGTAACTATTCGCATTAGGTTATATATTTAATCTATAATAAAAATACTGATGTTTAACAAAAAAGTATTGAACAGAAAATTTTGAATACTTTAAAAAACATATTTTTCAATATGTTTTAATGTTATAAGTTCAAGTACAAAGTACTCTATTTTTTCAAATCTAAAGAACAAGATATGGAAAAGCCCCTTTTTGGTCCCTGATTTAGGGTTCTTTCAGAATGATGCAACAGTGTATCCATGAAAACCAGTTGTCATTCTTCCCACAAATTGAGAATTGGCTCTAAGTTTTGAAATACACAGAGGTCTCAGAGATGTCAGAAAATAGGTTAATTTTCAAATTTCCGGATTTTTTGCAATTTTTCATCAATTTTTTTAGTAAATTTTGTTTCGCAAAACATAGAGCACAAACTTGCCTATCTACCAAATTTATATATTTTATAAACTAGTATCAGATGCTATTTATGTGTGAAAATTTCAGATGGACAAGCTTGTGCTCTATGTTTCCTGAAAAGAAAAGTATCTCAAATACAATGAAATTCTACCAGAATTGAGGAAATTGAGGAAAAAGGCCTACTTCTGCACACTCAAATGGCCTCAATATCAGTTCTGAATCAAAATTAGTGTTAAATTTAAAAGAAGCATTATTTTAAGTTCTTTACTACAAACTTTCACAATTTTACCAGTGTTCTGAATTTTACTTCAAATAAGAGACCAGATTTGACTGTTACCCTACCTTATCCTTTATTAATTTTCTACCCTTAGATATAAATATCTTTTTACCCCGTCCTTACCAATGCCTGAACAATGGTTTTGTTAGTGGATACTCGGCAGTTCCTAGGGATAGATACGGAGATGTGGCAGTTAAGTGTTGTAAAGGTATGCTTGTAATCCTATATTCAAACAATTTCCTTTTTTATATATATTCTATGTATATATATTTATATATAAGTTTATACTTTATGGGAAAAATGAAAATCCATCATTTGAAAAAAAGGTTAAATTTTAAATAAGTCCCGTACATTGTGTTGTAATATAGTAATGAATTTATTTAGAGTTAGCCTCTTTACGTATCACTTTGTAAACTTTACCAATATAGCATATAATATATAGTTACGAAAAAATGAAAGCTTTGTACAGTACATTCATTAATTTACTTATGTTATCAAAATGAATTTACTTAAAGTAAGACATGGCGTAGTGGTTAGAGCGTCTGCTCTAGAGTGGCATAGTAAGGAGTGAATCTTTACCTGAATGTCGCCAGTTCGAATCCCACTATGGGACGTAGAGACCGGTCCTTTGGATTAGATTGTATAAACCAAGGTCCCGTGTCACAGTAAGTGTTGGCACAAAAAAGATCCCTCACTGATTTCATTTACGCTATTCAAACGGTAACATTTTTGCAGAACTTTTTCCCAAAGTAGAAAAAAATAATCGAATTTTAGATAAACGTTTAAGGCATTCCCACTCAAAAAAAAGAGTAGTACAAGAAATTTGCTCGCGGATAGAAAAGATTGATTTAGCGAAAATATGGGGTAAAAACTCTGATGGAAATCAAAATGTTATGTGTTAAGAATGATTAAATCTGAAATTGAAAATAAAATTCCGTTTGTCGTAGAGTTGTCTTTTCGGAAAATATATACGGTTGGTATGATTAATTTCATGTAAATTGTTTGCATTGTGAACGTCCCTTCCATAATTCTTAATTGAGACCCTATAACTTGTCTGAGAAGGACTGCAAATTCAGATCTATAATCGGCATTCAGGGCAATAGAGCAAGTTTCATGCGGAGGACCGATATCGTCCTGCAGTTGGATTCGAATTCTTGACGTAAGGACCAAACTTTACTCTCCCATTAAAGAGCAAACACTCAATATCTGCCATCAATGTATATATAAATAAAGGTTTCTCAAATTAAATAGAAGATGAATAAATTTGTATTTTCTTTTTACAAGATTTATTCAACTTAGAGATCCTTTTGTTCTTTGTTTAATTTAATAGATTTTTTGCATACTTTTGAATGCATTCGTTAATTTTCATTTGACTGTACACAGTGCTAAGTCTTTCGTGCTCGTTTTCTATTGCAGCACTAGGTGTCACCTATAACCCGAAAGAATGCGTTCAGTATTTTCGAGTGGAGGATCCAAAATACCCGTCTCCAACTAAACCCGGATATTATCTAGTTGGATCCATTCCTCTTTTTCTTCCTCAGGGGCAAGTAGTTTTATTGTTATTTTTTGCAAATATACATGTACAATGTATATCCCGCACTGACCAAACTTTTAAATATATACTAACATTGACAAAAAATTATAATATGGCATGCAGTCACTACATACATATTTTAAAGCAAAACCAAAAAAGTACTGTACAGTTTTAGAATTTTTATTAATAAAATCTATACGTGTATGATTTTTTAACAAGGTTCTCTCTTATACAAAAGTAACTTTCAGATAACTTTTAGATTTTGGTGTTAGAGAAAATGGGTGTGAGTAAAACCATTAAAAGTTATATAGCTTTTGCAAAAAAGAAATGGCAAGTGATTTTTTTTAGATTTGACATATTTTCTCTCCCCCCTCCGTTTCTCTCTCTCTCTCTCTCTCTCTCTCTTGATGATTAAAATAAATTCGTCTTTATTTTCTTTCCTTTTCCAGAAAAATTGGTTTTTACAACACAGAATGTCTATTCCGCAGAAGCCAAGCCTTCAATTTGCAAATCTTTTAAAGGGAAGTTAAAACGTTTACAATTAGATTTTATATGTTTTGCACTAGTATAGATTCATTCCTGAAACATCAAATTTGATTTATGATTAATCACATCATTCTATCATATTATGTATTCATAATCATATAGACTCTAAGTTGATGCTTTAATAGAAGTGATACGTAAAATGTCTTCGTTTTTTTCCCCATAATTTACTTAAATGACCGTCTGAGTTGTTCACGAAAATATTGAGAGGATTAGAATGAACTGCACAGGATTTCAATAACCTTGTTGAAAAGCAGCATTTTGAAAAATCGTAAATTGTCTTATCATGATCTAGTTTGCAAACAATACTAACCATTTTGTTGTTATTTGGTTGCTGAAATGTTTCATTCCAATTTTTGGGCATATGCGTTTTTATATTGTATTTGACAACGTAATGTTCTATTTAGCTAATTAATACATAGGGTTTTCGAAGGATATGACCGATTGAAGAGAAATGTTTCTCTTATTTGGACGAAATAAAGAGATTTTGATTTCTGCCATTTTGATGAAGGCCAGCATTTTTTTCGGAGTCAGCATACTCAAATTAGGATAAAGAACTATGCTTGACCAAACAATATTTTTTTTGCCGTTATAGTATCTTTTCTTTAAATCGGACAAGGCTAATCCATCTCCTATATTTTAAAGGGTTTATATCATGAAACACTATTATATTTTTGAATTTATAATTTAATTATACATTTAAAATAAAGTTGAAGACTGCTGTATTTTGGACGTAAAACCTCCGTAATATAGGTTCCTGGGATTGAATATAACCGCTAATTAGAAAGGAGTCACGTGGTACTGAAACGTCATAGGTGTCAATGGAAAATAAGAATTCGTGTATTATCGTATCGTAATAAAATATTTATCGAATAGATTTTTACGTTAAATAAAAAGAATACATGACTAGTTTGGAAAAATTTTAGCAATGACGCTAAATACCAAAGTACATGTAAATTATTATGTGACTATAGTCGCTCATCTGATATGAATAAACATCTACCACAGAGAAAAAAAAAACATACCGTGAAAAGGGGAGAGGAGGCATCAAAGACGAAGCCATTCGCGCCGATTGAAAACTCCGGGCTTCCTCTGCATAGATCGAACTGTGAACGTTTGCCTTTGTAAACATTTATAAAAAAGGAAATTATAAGTTCTTCTTTATTTTAGTAAATTATATGTAAACAGGTCTTATGTATCATCTATCTGTTCCAGCAGTAAATATCATATTCTAGAAAGGACACTTCAATCTTTAATGGCGCCAATACGCCATTACGTCTGCAACTTCACAACACTTTGGATGATGTGTGTCCAACTTTTAAAATGCCTGTGATTTTTTTTTTTCGTTTTGAAAGAGTAAAATTCCTATTAGATATTTTATAGCACAGAAAACAATCATAATCGTACATAAACTTACATAAACGATTGCTCAGAATGGAGACAAATCCACGCACCGACCAAGTCCCTCTCATGTAAAAAAAACTTCCTAAAACCTTTAATTCATGTGCACATTTTTTATCCAAACGCCACAAATTATATCTAAATATCTTTCAATTATCCAGTTTTCATTTATTTAATTCCTAGCAGGTTTAATAGACGAAGCCATTGATGTGCTTTTTAAACACAATAAGTGGACTGACACCTATGACGTCAGAGCAATGGCGCACAACATCAGTGATCAAAATATGCATATTGAGAAATTCAAACTTTGAATCGCTGAAACACCAAAATATTAATTTTCTGGCCAAAAAATTTTGATGGATGATTTTGATGGCATATAAACTTTGTTATATAAAAAAAATCGATACATGATAAAACCATTTAATAGAACAAAGAAATGAAAAATTACTATTTTTAGCATTAACATGCTGATAAGGAAATTGCACTTCCGCTGGCATTTATATTGAGGCAAAAAAAAATCTATAATGTTGCACATAAGTTTTGTGATTAAAGAAAATCATGTATAAATTCCATACTTTTATAAATCTATAAATCTGACCAGACTAATCCATCTTTTATATTTCAATAGAAAAGAAAATGAACAAGAGGTCCAAGGGCCTTATAGGTCACCTGAGTATCATGTAACAACTTTCCAACGATTGCATTTGCTTCTGTTTTAAACCAGAGGCCATGAAATTCACAATTTTGAAAGAGGCACCATTGCTTATCATAATTATAAACTTAGCATGATTACTCTATTTACTTAATACCCAGAGGTAGATCAGAGCACTTTGTAACCAGTTGTGCACCCCACCCCATAGGAACCATTGACCCTGGAGCTACATATTTCAAAATTTGGAAATTTTATCATAAATTTTATTTCATCATAAATGGTTGATTAATACCCAAGAGCAGATTTCAAAGCATTAATTTATTTTCAGACTATGTAACCCCCCCCCCCTCCCCCTTGACCCAGGGGTATGAAATTTCCCATTTTTCTAGATGCATCTTTCCTCATCATAAATTAATATACTTGGATCATTAGCATAACACCCAGGAGCAAATGAAAGGATTGTCAAAGAATTAATGTCTTTTCACTATATAATCAAAAGAGCCCCCCCCCCCTCCCCTTTACACCAAATGGCAAAACCCCTGAGACAGGGGCAATGAAATTCACAAATCTGGAAAGGCATTATAACTTTATACTAAGTTAGTTTATTTAATACCGAGGAGCAGAGAAGAAGATTTTCAAAGAATTAATGCATTTTCACTATATAATCAATAGAGCCCCGCCCTGACACCAGAACCCCTGACCCTGGGGCCATAAAATTCACAATTGTGGAATAAGCACTCTTGCTTATCATAACTATGTACTTAGTTAGTTTATTTAATACTCAGAAGCAGAGAAGAAGATTTTCAAAGAATTATTGTATTTTTACCATATAACCAATAGAGACCCGCACTATCACCAGAACCCCTGACCCTGGGGCCATAAAATTCACAATTTTGGAAGAGGCACTCTTGCTCATCATAACTATGTACTTAGTTTATTTAATACTCAGAAGCAGAGAAGAATTAATGCATTTTCACTATATAATCTATTTAGCCCCGCCCTAGCACTAGAACTCCTGCACCTAGGGCCATGAATTTCACAATTTTTGTAGAGGACTCAATGCTCTTTACATTCATGCTAACAGGTTGACTGCTTGATGTCCAGGAGTAAAGAAGAGTTTTAAAGATTTCATTAATTCTAGTGGTTTTGGCCCCACCCCTCAGGCCCCGGGGGGGGGGGGGGGCAGGGACCATGAAATTCAAAATTTTTGTTCCTCTTCACCCATAGATGCTCTATATCAAATTTGGTTGAAATTGGATCAGTGGTTTCAGAGAAGAAGCTGAAAATGTTCAAATGTTAACACACGGCGCACGACGGACGACGGACGGCGACGGACGAAAACGGATAGCAATAGGTCACCTGAGTGACTCAGGTGACCTAAAAATTACTATTTTAGCATTTTAAAATGAGCAAAATCTTCGTCTTAATGATAGTATTGATAATTTGAAATGAACTTAACCTTCGTCTGTATATTAATACTGGTAGCTCAGTTGTTAGAGCGCTTGTTCTGTATAGGAAGGGCATGCGTTGCTGTTCCTTTGGATGAAGCCTTAAGAACCGAGTTCTGGCCCCAAGACCATAAACTGAGAATAGAATTAAGTCAAAGTTTCAAAATGAAACAAAATTTTCAAGGTATCTTTGTATTAAAATAGTTAATAAATTTGCACGTTTTTAATCCGTCATTTTCATTCAGAAATAATAAAAATATTCAAAATCTAAATTTTGACTAAAGTCTATCCTCAGTTTATGGTCTTGGGACCCGTGTCAAGGCAGGCGTTTGCACAATTTAGATCCATCATTGATCAATGGCATTGAAAGCTGAATAAAGGTCAAAATCTAAAGCCTTTCACCGGTATTTGGTTCCCTTACGAGTAAAAGATTCCTAAAAGGGGCTTAAACAGCAAAAAGGATGCTAAGAAAGTTCCTTCCATGATGAAATATTTTCAATATATTCAAAGTCATGATTAACTAACGATATAAATTTTCAAGTCTGACAAAATCACAAGAATATGCTTTAGATTTATAGCAATTCATTTCTAGCAGGAAGTAATTGGGTTTTTCTTCCATATGAACAAAATATATAACATCTTTAAAGCACCCAAATGACAGAAATACGGGACATTTTGAGTGGAAATATAGGATAATTTTCTTTTATTTCTTCATAGCTTTTCTTGCTTCAGACAAGCTGATGAGCTTAGGCATAAGAGAGAATAATTACTTTTCAAAAGAATAGGTTTGTCATTTTGAAGTGATTTACTGACTTGATAATTTTTGTATAGTATTCTAAAGGAAGTTTTGACCTGAGTGGTTAATCTATGTCACAATCTGCTTCATCCCTACTTTTTCTGCCCAGACATTATCTGTTTTAGTACCTGTCCCCTCTAAGTGTCAACAAAAGAGAGTTAAACCCTAATCAGTAGCAAGAATGCACTCTGTAAACATGAATTCATAAGCCACACCGATCACATGAGGACTTAATTTGTTAGGACATTGTTAGCTGAAGAAAAGGTAACACGGGCCTTATGGGTCACCTGAGTATCATCTAACAATCTTCCAACAATTAGGTCATGTTTTAAACCAGAAGGCATGAAATGCAAATTCACAATTTTGAAAGAGGCGCCATTGCTTATCATAACTATACACTTAGCATGCTAACTTTGGTTACTCGATACTCAGAGGAACAAAGAAAAAATGCATTTCCAATTGATAAGAGGTTGTGCACCCCACCCACAGGAATCATTGACCTTCGGGCCAGACATTTAAAAATTTAGGAAATTTTATCGTAATTTTTCTATCAAAAATTGTTGATTTATGCCAATGAGCAGATTTCAAAGCATTAATCTTATTTTAGACTATGTTCAACCCCCCAATTACCACTGACCCAGGGGGCCCAATTTGCAGCATTCTTCATCATAAATAGGAAGGGTGATCAACAAGTTTGCGAACTCATTGAAAAACTTCCATAAAAGAAACAATATTTGATTTCAGTGTATATTACATTTTAAATTTGTCCTCTTCGATTTTAATGCACATCTGCCACCGTTCTGCTCATGCTCTAATCACGTGATCACGTGACCCCCTCTGTAGCGTTTTGTCACAAAAGCTGAAAGATTTTTCTGTGTTTTATATATTTTTTTTCCCATGTAACTTAATTTTGATAACAAGAACAGTTTATTTGTCAGAAATGGTCAAATCTCGGCAACAGAATGGGTGGATAAGAATATCATTTCCAAAAATAAGCACTGTGACCATCAAAACCCAAATCTTCTGTCTCGGGAGAGACGTTTATTCAAGGTTGATAGAGAAAAGTTGCCTCCTTTTTGTCATATCTAATATGTTTAAAATCAAAAGTGAACGATATCTTAGGCATTTAATTAATTATATTATTGTTAAGATATTCAACTATTTTTTAAAGTGTAAATCGGAGGTCATTGATAACAAATTGCTAAATTAAAAACGTATCTCCTTTCAAACTTGCGTTCACTGGGCAACATAACAAACATCATTTTAAACCATCCGCATTCCTTCACTTAAACGATCAATGCAATCATTGATTAAATTGTGACGTCACAAACAAGGAGCAAAACTTTATTTGGAATATGCTATTTATAGAACTTGTGTATGGCTATGTGTGTACTAATTTTTTTCCAATATGAATTGTGGTTTTGTAGTTCGCAAACTTTTCATCACCCCTCGTATGTACATAGATCATTGGCATGATATCTAGGAACAACGGAAAGAAATTTCAATGAACACAGGGGCCCTGAGATTCACAATTCTGGAAGTGGCATTCTTCCTCCTCATAACTATATACATAATTCATAGGTTTAACACCCAGGAGCAGGGAAGAAGATATTTTTTAAAGAAATAATGCATTTTCACTATATAATCTATTTAGCCCCGCCTATCACTAGAACCTCTGACCCAGGGGTCAAGCCAACAGTTTGACCTCTTAATGTCCAGGAGTAAAGAAGATATTTAAAGATTGCATTTATTTTTGTGGCTTTTGTCCCATCCCTCAGGCCCCAGGGGGTCAGGGACAAAGGATATACAAAATTTGTGTTAGCCTTGACCAATAGATGCTTTCTGCCAAAATTTGTTGAAATCGGTCGATCGGTTGCAGAGAAGAAGCTGAAATTATTCAAATATCAACGGTCGACGCACGAGGACGGACGAAAGCGGATATCAATTTGTCACCTGAATTAACTCAGGTGACCTAAAAATTGGTTTAGTGTTGATACGAGTTTCTCCTACAAAACTTTTGCCGGGGCACGTAAGGGTTTATGATTTGAACAATTTTGAATCTAAACTAATTCATTTAAAGTTACACAATGAGTCTACAAATTTAGTAACATTTTAAGTCTTATATTCACACAAAAAATGAATATATTTTTACAATGGTCTTTAAAAATGTATGTCTACATCGATACTGTCAAAATAAATTTGATTTCAAAGCCCAAACATTTGTTAGAATAAAGAGGCTTATTATGTTTAGAGGTTCGGAGAATATATAAGTACATGCACCAATAAAAATCACAGTATAGATGACAAATCTTACATGAGTAAATAAATTTTACACGTCTTAAACATAAATCTATTGTATTAATAGCAATGACTTTCAGGTTTTGTTTAAATTCATTTAGTTCTTTTTCATTATAATATAAAGCTAGCACAAAAATCTTAGTAATTGAATTTTGACTACAAAAATGACTACATAAAAAAGTACATACAATTAAAATTCAGTTAATGAAGTCTAGATTAAGCATGAAAAATTGTCTTAAAACATGGTTCAATATTATTTCAATCATTGAACTTTTTCATTATGTATGTAAGTGCGAGACCAAAAACCATGACCATCAGATTGAAGAAGAGACCCGCAGCACCTGATAACGAAGAAAAATTGATACAGTTTTGGAAGCAAGGTAATTAATAACTTTTAATCAATGTTACCAAAATAATTGAAATTTCTATTTCATGAGATGTATACATAAATATCTAATTGTAGTAAATATTCTATTTCTTTCCTTGTAAAACGTGGGATTAATTCGGATATTATGTTTTCCTAAATCTTATTAAATATGATGTAAATTTCAAGTCCATATCAATAATTTCAATTTTTAAAAATGTTGTCTCATTCGGAATGCATGTTAAATAATCCATCCAATTACTTTGGAACCACTGGTGGCCTAATTAGACATGTTTAACTTTATTTTTAGAGATACCTACCGCACGCGGATTGGTTGATGGCTTTCCTTGCCTGGTTGACGTACTCTTTTGCTGATTCAAGTGACGAGCTGTCTGTACCACAGGCTGCCAATACCTTGTCTAGGCAGTCCAGGAATTGACGTGTTTCACTGTTTAGTAAAAAGCTATTTAGTCGTATGTTTTTGCCTGAAAGCTTTTTTGTATGAAAATCATCAGATATCATATCAACGGAGTCAGCGAATCACATTAATTCTAACACTTAGCCAAACTTCCTTCATCTGTAATACATGTATTTGATATAAGTCTTAATAACTTACACGTATGTAATATGCTGGACAAATTATAATAGTCTAATGATGATTTCAATATTTTTCATCTTGATTTTAATAAAATTTTTCAAACAGCAAAAAAAGTTAACCTGCACATTTTTTCAATATCGTTTCCAGCAGCACGAATCGCAGAATTGTAGGTAGTACTACATGTCCAGACGTCATTTGAGGTACACCCCACGGCAACAGTTCCTAAAAATGAAGAAGATTAACAGTGATCCATCTAAACATTCTATAAACAGTACAGGGCATATAACAGGGGGCCCTGATATTGACAGGGGTGGGATCAGGTGCCTAGGAGGAGTGAGTATCTCCTATTGCCAGGTCACATCTGCCGTATTGATCAATGATATGATAAATACATGAAGAAGTGATAAGTAGATAATAATCTTATTTTGTGAAAAATAATAAAATGTACATTCTAAAGCAAATTAATTTTGTCAGTGTCAAAATATGTCTAAGAAATGTGAACTGAACAATTCAAAAAGTGTTGAATGCTTTAATGATAAGAGCAAAAAGGCAAAAAAAAAAAAATTCTGAAGCCCAAGTATGGCAGGTACATGCAATGACAAAGATTTAAGTTTCCCAAATACAACATAACTCCAAGATCAAGGAATCATGAATACCCAAAGAAACTAATTTACCTAAAAAGAATAATCTCGAACATCAACTGTCCGAAGTTTATGGTCAAGATTAAAGGTTTTCTTTTCAAAAATGGGTTAGACTTTAAGTCAAGATCAAACTTATAGATACCCATGGGAAAGCCTTTTTAAATCAAACACATCTGTAAATTATTTAAGTCATTTCGACAACTTTTCAGAAGTCTTAGCTAAAGTTGAAGTTTGGTAATTTTTTCAAATGAAGAAACTCCAAGTTCAAGAGGCCAAGTATCTTGTCTAGTTAAAAGAAAAACATTTGTGAAAAATGAAAGCCATAGCTCCATTCAATCAAATAATATAACATATATGGATAATATAGCTATTACACTCTAGTTCTGTAGTGGTGTCAGCAAAGAAAAATATATTTCTTTTTAAAAAATGAATATATGAATCTACTAATATTTTTAATCCCCCCCCCTCTCAAATCGAAAATTGGGGGTATATAGATTTTGCCCAGTCTGCATATTTTTCTGTTTGTCTGCCTGTATGTTTATCTGTCTGTCTGTCTGTTGGTCGGATTTTGTGAACTTTGTTATATGTAGTCTTTAACTTAAGATAAGCATCTAAAATGCTGCTATGTAAAACAATGTTTAAATCTTTTTGCACTAATTTTAAGTATTTGGGAACTAGTTTTAGAGTTTTAAATCTGTATTTTTTAATTTTATTCTTTAGAATAACCAACACAGATGTTTATGTTGTGCTTTATATTGAATTTATTGATAATTATATGCGACAAATCCTTATTTGAGGACGACAAAAAGTATTTTCACCTTGAATGTATGTGGTTAATAAAATCATACAGGAAACAATCCAAATTGTTGAGAGCATCTGGTTTCCCATATCTGCTGTCTCTGGAAATAAAAATATACGTATAAAGTATAATATACACAAAAAAATAAAGCGGTTAAAAATGAATAATACTTTGCTTGACATGATAAGTAATGTGAATAAATTCAGTCAACAATGACTTTGGTAGGACAAGGATCTTGTGTGAAGTTTTGTCTGTTGTAGTCTAAATACATCTTTAAATGACAATCCAAAGAATATATCATTAAATTGGTCAATTCAATAAATAACGATTTATGATTAAATGTTAACAATCTCCATTTTTTTTTAATTGAAATACATGTATATGTAAAGGGATATTACAACACACTGAAGGTAAATTGACCTTAAATTTCTGTTCTACAAACAATAAAGTTGAAGCATTCAGCTTAATTATGGTACCCCTGTCTACCATATTATGATTGTAAATGCAAAGTCCATGTTTTGCTATGGTAGACTCGAAATAAGAGGAGTAGCGGATATGATACGGATATCCCTTAATGTGATAGAAAGAAAGTGTCCATGTTCTGCTATTGGAAAACCCGAAATATGCGTCTTATGTTTTATATTCAATGAAATGTACATGTATGCACAACATATGCGATGAATTGCATATTGTGGCCTTGATCCAGTTCTAGTCGGAGTTTCTCGAGCGCATATCCTCGAATTGCGTCTTACAAAATAGCTGTCTATTCATTTAAAAAAACTCAAAAGGAAGCGACCTGCATGGCATTTAAATTTTAAAATAGGGTATTAAGGATAAACAAATCTTATACGAATTTATAGGTGTGGGAATGCCACGGTGTCTATGGCTATATTAGAGAATAAATATTTCTGAAATATTTTTCTACCATGTTTGTTGGCTGCGTAATTCGTATTTTTCTCATAGTTTGGAGGATACATGCCTATGAGATAAACCTATGTTTTATCCACGGTTAGGTATCCAAAGCACTCATGTTTTTGACACAACCCCTTGCTTTCAGGTTTAATTTCATCAAAATTTCTTTAATTATAAAATGAATGATAGGCTAATGAGCAAAAATTTTGTTAAGCAAGAAAAAAGACTTGTTTACGTCTATGAAGTGTCTAAGGTAATCAATGAGTCGACACTAGCTACTGTGAAAATAGATGTTACATCCCCTGCCTCTAAATTGTTTTCATGATCAGAGACGAAAGGCTCAGTTAATGTTGTTGGTTCTTTTTGAAAATTGTCAATGCAGAAATATTTATATTAAACTATAAACATCGAAACTTAAAAATGGATCTATAAGTAAAGTAGCATTGCAGCTTGCGCATTGTCACAGTATAAAGTATAAATAGGAAAAACATCTAGACTTGCAGTTTGGTATTTGTGATAGAAATGTTGATTTGTCGACTCAAACATTCGTTTAACAACTTCGCTCAAGTGTCGCCAGTAAAACTCAATTTGCGACCATTTATTCAGCATTCAGCATTAACAGTGGCATATACCGAATTAAAAGACAGCTTTTCCCTTAATTTTTTTTCTATATATCAAACTATGCAAAAATGCATTATTTTTTTAACAGCTTCAACTAGCTAGCTGCTTTATTCGTATTATGAGCGTTTCGTCCTTTTCGAGAATATTTCATTCATATCCGAGATGTATTCAAATACCATTGAAGGGATTCGACATTGAATTTTCTTGTCACTCAGAGCCATTCAGCAGTTAAAGTTATATCTGTCAATGTGCCAAAGCTATTCTGACACAAACCTCGATTTCTAGGTTTTCATCGAAAGATCCCACAATTTTCACTTCAAAGTGCTGAGCGCTTGGCGAAAGAACACTTGCTACTTTTTTCTATTAACTCAGATCAGTCGGGTCCGTGTAACTCTTAACAATTCAAATTTCTAAAATGATTTAGAGTGTTAGAATGTCAATGTATTAGTTCAAATTCCTAAATTTCAAAAACTCAAACTCATTTGGTATATTGAAATTTAATATTTTAGTTCAAAAATCTAAAATTTAAACGTTTTAAAATTTTCATATTTTAGATTTTTACTTTAAATGTTCAAAATTCAAATTTCCAAAGACGATTTTTATATTTTAAACTTTTTAGTTTTTAGTCTACCGTTTCTTCAGAAAGTTTACACTTAACGATCTATAGTTCAGTAACATTTTTCGTCTTTTGATTTTTTAGAATAAGCTTCAAACTTCTAAAGTCCAACTTTGAAACGATTTAGATTTTTAGAAATTTGGAATCTTGATTCATATGTCTTAATTTCAAATAACCTAAACAGTTTGAGTTTTAAGAATTTACTCTAAATATCCAAAATATTAAATTTCCAAACGCAATTTGAATTTTGAAAATCAGTTTAATATTCTAACTATCAAAAAGCTCTTTTGCTTAACAAAAAAGTGTTTTTGAAATAGTTTCAAAATTCAAACCAGGTTTGGAATTTGATATTTTGGACATTTTAAGTAAATATCTAAAAACTCCAACTGTTTTTCTTTAAATTTGAATGTTTGAATCAAAATTTTAAATTTCAAAAAATCTAAAACGTTTTGAAAGTTGAAATATAGAAGTTTGAAGTAAATTTTGAAAAATCCAAAGTCGTAAAAACTGTTCTTAACTTTAAATTGTGAAGCGTAAACTTTCAAAACAAATGGTAGATTAAGAACTCAAATTCTTGAAATACAAAATTTGTTCTTGGAAATGTGAATTTGGAATATTTAAAGTAAAAATCTAAAATATGAAAACTCCAAAACCTGTTAAGAAATTTGAAATTTAGATTTAAACTATTAAATTTCAATATACCAAATCAGTTTGAGTTTTTGAAAGTTAAATATTTGAACTAGCATATTAACATTTTAAAAATTAAAATCACTTTAGAAATTTGAATTGTTAAGTGTTGCACGGTCCCAGTCGCCAATGGACCCAAATCCCACGACCCTCTGTGCATGGAGCGAGCGCTTTACTGCATGCCAGTTTAATTTGAAACGCAACGATAGAATCAGTGATATTCAAGCTTGTATTTGTTTTAAGATTACTAGATCTTACAATGTATTGCTATATAACAGCATTTAGGAATTTATAAAAGAAAATACAACTATCAATAATATTTCTCTCAAAAGATTTTAAGTTGATGAAAATGTGCCCCAAAAAATAAAATATACCTTAAAGATGTTATCCACGAGTGGTTGGTCTACTGCACTGTCTCTTTATGAAGATTTCTCTTTTTTTTTCTTTGTATTTTTTTTATTTTACTTAGCCGACGCTTCTCGGTTTACTTTCAATTATGGGTTTGCAAAACTTGATTTTCGATAATGCACTGGGAAATACGCTTTTCCAGGGACCCGGATACACTTATTTAAATGCAGGTAATACATGTACAATTACTAAAACTGGTTTTTTCGTGTGTTATTTTATTGACTTTCCCAGTGTAGAAAAACGCAACACAGGTTTCTCTAAATTATTTCAGAAAATAGATCCTGATCAAAAATTTGCAGTTTGTCACAACGCAGATTTACACATGACATTTTTTTCTTTCTTAAATTTTCATGGTTATTGCGAATAAGAATTCCATAAAACTACGATTAAAATAGAGCAGCACTTCACTGAGCATGCAATACACACTGCCATTTGTTGCTCGAGATAAATTTCATGATTTTAAATAATTTTTTTCAGGTCTTTGAAAGTCCCAAAGGTCTGACTAAAAATAAGTAGTGACCTAAAATATTTAATTCTTGCATTTGCAGTTAGCATTTAAGTAGATACAAATATTGCGCGTTGATATCTCTTATCGAAGAGTATAAAATAAGAACAAGTATTACAAGTACAATCATGCATCTCTTGTGCTCTGCCAATCGCAAAAGAATTACAGAAACCTCTGCGCATTGTAGGAAAACTTCCAGTTCCCTCACACATTTTGATAATTTAAAAAAAGTTGTTTGCCAATAATAATGATGAGTCATTCATCCCCGATAATAACATTATGTTCTGTACATGTATAGTGGGATGAAGGAATATATTAACAGCAGTTCAATTATTAATTGTCGTATGCTTTTACTGAAAGTAGGAGATATTAGTTTCGATCTGTTTGTCCATCAGTCTGTCTGTTTTTATGCAAGTTTGTCTGTAAAAACTTTGCTTGCGCCTTGCAATTGAAATTTAGAAAAAGATTGCTCCAATTGATTTGAGATCAAAGGTCAAGGTAATAAATTCGATGTACTAGTATTTAGAATTTTGTTTTGCATATCTCGAATAGCCTTTGTGCTACTGTATGGGAAATTTTACACAACAACTTCATGTCACCCATGAAAGATTTTGAGATGAAATGATCAAAGACCAAGGTCATAAATATACACAATGTTTGTGGTTAAAACTTCCAATTCTAAGCGACATTTGAGATTTTGCAATGAAATTTTTTGCCCCGCCAGGTCCTCTCAAAGTGCACGTCTCTCATCAACACATCAACCTTGATCGTACGTCACATTCTCTTCAGTTTCCTAAAACGGAGAACACCGATTTTCTTAAAGGGGCTATTGACGAGTTTCTACTGAATTTTTTTAATTAAACCAATTTTAATGTTTACAATTCCTACCTAAGGTATCATCCAATGATAAGCAAAAATTTGTACATCATTTGTTGATTAACAAACGAGATACAAAACTTAAAGTTCTCCATAATGTAAACAAGAATCGGGCCTTGTTTTTGTTTATATACAGGAAATTTTATATTTATAACAAATTGAACTTCAGGAAATCAGTAGAAACTGTCGAATTGTTTAAAATTAACTTTTTTTATTGAAATCATCTACTTTGAACTAACATATAGTAGGATATTAAACTATGTAAACAATAACATGACACGAACCTTGTTCACATAACAAAGGTTTGGAGCTCTACATCTGTCTTTCATCTCGACAACTAACCTTCAAATTTTTGATGATCATTAGAAAGACCCTAGTTAAATATTTGTAAAAATGGAGAAATAATTCTTAAAATTTTATTGAAACTGTGTCTATGCCCCTTTAATTAGCTTGTTTTGAATTTACTTACTTTATTTTATCATCTTTTCTCGTTTTACCCTGTTTGTTAAATAAATATTTAATAACAAGCTTGTATGCATGTCCTAGATATTTAAGTCAGAGTATTTTAGTATGTAGACTCAAAATAGATACTTTCTTCTCTATGCAGTATGTAACTTAAGTAGATATTTTAAGTGTTTATTTATAGGCATTCTTTTTGCATTTCTTAAAAATGCCATTTTATACAGAATGATCTTTTCTTTCCGTTACGTACAATTTCACACCTGTTTGAAGTAAATGGCTAATAGTAGCGACTTTCCTTAATTATGAATCTGCTCTCAGGGTTTAAAAAAACTACTTACTACTTCTGCAAGGAGTTTAACTCTGTTTATTGTCCCAGAGTCTTAGTTTATATTATCAGTTTACTGAAAACTGCTAAAGCTTCCGCCAATCTATTATTTACTAGATACCAGCCACAGTGACGGATGGGAAGGCGAAGGACTGTTGAAAAAGAAATTAATGAAGGACCACAAACTCACGATGGGAGAACTGGCCATGGAGAGCAATGCTAAAGATAGAGAGAAGTTGAGAAATCTAGTCCTTGCCCTATATGCCCACGGGCATAACAAGGACTAGATAGGCAGGTTGCCAATGTGACATATCAAAAACACTAGAAGCTACATCACTCACCTGTGTCCTTTTGGCTTTTTAAATTAAAAAAAATTGCCTGAACACATAATTTATGTAACTTTTTTTTAGTTTTTATTGTTTTATTGTTTTTGAATATGTCCCTCGTTTACTTAAATATGACATATCCTATGATTTCCTTGACCTGGCGTTTCCAAACTAAAGTGCTTTTTGTTAGGGCTGTGCTCTTGCATTCTTTGCTCTTTCTAAAATTTTGCTATTTTGGTCAGGTGCATTCTCCTATAATATTTTTTTTAGGTTCAAAGTATGAATTCAAGTTTCATAAACTGTTTTTAGGCAACGTAGATGAGTATCTTCTCTCTATATATATATTTATATTAATTTTTTAGAAATTTTTACACGCTGTTGTTTTAACTCATTTTTCAAAACATAGGGTGATCACTGGGTTTCATAAAGTTAATAAACAGTTCAACTCACGGCAAACATTTTTAGTTTTTTTTTCAAAATGATATAAGCTTTAAATACATATCTAAGTGACTACAAAAATTAATACACATAGATAAAATTCATCTAATATAAAGTCTAGATTGTGCGTTACAAATTTTGTTTTAAAATGTTTCAATGATTTTCAATCATTGAAAGTTTTGAAAATGAATGTAAATGCCAGCCCTAAAACCATGACCAGCAGATTAAATATGAGGCCAGCAGCACCTATAATGAACAAAAATTGAAGTAATTTTAGAACCAAGATAATTGAAAACTTTAGAATATTGTAAATAAGAAAAATTTTGTTAATTATTCTTTAAATGTAATAATTACTTTATTATAATTTATTTTATCAATATTCATATTATTATAGTTACTAATTTATTTGATATAGCATTTAACAAAAAGTAAATATTTTACTTTCACTTTCGTTTGACAAGCTAACGTACATGTATTTTAAGATACTCACCACAACCGTATTGGTTGAGGGCTTGCCTTGCTAGGTCGACGTATTGTTTTGCAAAATTAGTTGTTGAGTCCTGTGAGCCACAGGCAGTCAGTACATTGTCTAGACAGTTCAGATACGTCTGAGCTTCACTAAACAACAAAGAGTTATCAAAATCATCAAGGGTTTATTCTCGAAACGTCTTAAGGAAGAATGCTACACCAGAATTTTATTTCAATAGATTTTTGAGAGACCTCCTTTTCACTATGGTTTCAACCTTATAAGAACGGTATAAGCTCCTTATTATTTTGTATGATTTTTAAATAAAATAACAAAAATGATTTATTTGCAAATTAGATGGCAATACACTATTAATTAAAACTTTCGAATCGTCTTTAGCATTTTTACAAAGAACAAGAAGAGAATAGCAGAATAAGGACTCCGTCTTATTTTGCAAATATCAAATTTATAAAAACTTGAACTCGATCATGCGAATGTTATTTAGAAATTTAAATACACCTATCGTAGTACGTAGTAAAAATATGTTTTATCTATTTTTAGATTAGTGTAGCTGATAGGATGCAGGTAAACAAAAATATTTGACCGATTTTTTTTCCCAGCTCATATAAGGTGTCGGCCGTATAGATAGTTTTCAGTGGACCTAAATTAGCAAGAGTTATAACACGTTGGCCACTACAATGGGGACAACATGGCTTAATTCCTTCATTATTCAAAAAGCTTAAACTTTTTATACTGGTCATTGTGGCGTAGGCAATATTGTTTTCCTGAAAAATAAAAAAAATATTGAACCTGTCGAATATAATATAGTACTTATATGCCATAAAGATTTTCCCCCAAATCTCTCTGTTACACTCACTTAAATTGGGTGATATAAAGAGGAAAAATTACCTAATTACCAAGAAAGATGGTGGCAAAGGGAAATAACTCGGAGAGAAAATACGTCATAATCTGTCATAATGGTAATATTTTTTTTTAAAAAATTGATTTTGATCAGATAACAAATTAACAAACAAATCAAACAAAAGGATAACCTGCAAATTTTTCCATAATCATTACCAGCAGCAAGAACAGCGTTAGAGTACGTTGTGGCACATGATAGGACTTCACTTGTGGAACACGTCTGTGCAGCAGTTCCTAAGAATGAGAAAGATGGTATTTATAGTTTTCTTTTCTTTATTTTTACTTGAAATTAATCTAATGTTATTCTTTTTAATCACTTTATACAGATTTTCTTCTTTTTTTCATCTGCATATTTATTGCATTGTTTGAAAATAATATTAATCGAATATATTTTGGTATAAAATAAAGTTCACCTTGGATGTATATAGTTAATGAAATTAAACAGAATTAAACAATGATGGAGAGCCTCTGATTTTCCATATCTTCTGTTTCTGAAAATATAAATATATATTAGATTCAGGTATGTCACTTGTGAAATTTGTTAAATCAAGGATTTATTGAGAAGTATATTTTGGATAAGTACTCATATAGAGTGACTCAAAATCGCAGAGAAAATAGGGGGTCAGTGTTTATCTTTCTGATCTACGGTACAATGAAGTTGACCTTTTTGCACTTAAATTTTAACTCTTTGGTTAATTACTTAAACCTTTATTATATTTTATCAGATGTAACCATGGCAAAAAATATTATCTTATTTTACGTAAAATATTTTGAATAATATTTATCAATGAAAAAATTATTGCGTGACCTTTTTGCACTAAAAAATAACATATTTTGGGGTATTAAAAACTAAATAGGCAATAAATCATTTTCTTAAATCAAGCTTTCTATGACTTAAGTGCTGATCAGTCACAAGAATCGAGTACTTTAAAATAATGAAAGAAAAAGTTGGAGTCAGTGATGTTGATTTTGAAATATTGGTCAAAATATGTGATTTTCAGGCAAAAAATGGTGTTAATTTTATATTGACTTATTTGACATATCTTCATTTTTTGGCAAAGTTTGTTGAAGGAAGGTGTAAAACTTGTTCTAAAAATATACATTAAGACCTATATTAAATATTCCTAGCAATATCATAATGGAAAATATTCTCCGAGTAAAAGTATGTGAGGCTAAAAGTCCAAGATATTGAATTCAATAAATGTGCAGATTTGCAGAATTATCTGCTAAATATCCTTCCACTACAAAAAATAGTCCCTCACAAATTTTGCTTCTTTGTAGCTTTTTGAGCAGTTTTTTTTTTTTTTTGATGAATGTTAAAACATTAACATTGTTGAAATTAAATATGTTATAAAAATTTTATCTTGATAAATAGTTTTGAAGTAAGAGGTTCTGCGTGAACTTTTCCAAAAAGCTGACGAGTGACCTACCTTAAGCCTAATGTATAAAATGAATAAGCAAATAAAAAAGAGTAAGACCTCTGAAGATATTTGCGAAAGTTTTATTAGGGAATTTAAGGATTATATATTCTTGTGTCACTATGTATTTTTCGTTAGGAGTGTTTTGAAAGAATTCTTGTATTTTCAGTGCAAATTAGGTGCACGATTAGTAGTTACATGTATAGGCTCATGTCGCCTATGTATAATGGACTGCGGGGCAAGGAATCCCATCCATTAACACCAGAATAACTCAATATTTGTGCACAATAAAACATCACAATATTTCTCTTCTCTATTTAAATTTGTAGTGTAGGATCTGAATACGAAATGTGCTAATGTTAACATTTAAGTTCAAAAGTCCGGAATTAAAGGCTTATACGATGACATTGTCTGATAATTAAATGCTATACATGTATTGTAATTTAAGCTTAAAATAGAAACGGAAAGGTTCCAAATATTTAGTAGATCATTTAATTTCTTGAATTAACGATTAATTGCTATTCCGGTGTGTCTTTTAGCCATAATTAAATATTGCTGTGACGTCATGCCTTTGTTCTTGCAGTCTAAAAATTTACCTGTTGTCGTCCGATAATAATAATAACATGTCTGATAATATATTATCGGACGGCAATGATAACAAAATTGGACGGTATTAAAAAAACAAAAAGAAGAGTGAAATAAATGTTAAATATGTCCAGAAACCCCCAAAAAATGTAAGGAAAAAAATTCAGGGAAAGCAAAATCAAGAAAATTAAGTTGCTCAAAATAGAACATCCATGAAAAAAAAATCGAGTTTAAACCATCCTCAAAATTAATACTTTCCACTTTTTCTAGTGTTTTTGATACAACACTGTGGATGATCAGATTTAAATCCATTTCTGAGAAAGAATCTGAAACTCTGATTTAATAAAGTTTGCTCGCCGATATGGCCGCACTTTTAAAACCTGAGAATTAACCATTATATAAACTAAAATTTCAGGATAAAACAGCATATTTTACTGTCCATGGTGATAGTAATAATATCGTCCAAAATTATGTCTGTATTAATGTCAATTCATTCATATACAATGTAATAACTAAAAAAATATTCCAAAATGATTTTTAAAAAGTCCTTCACCACCGGACCCCTGTCCTGCTGAGCTAGACGACTGCCATTCAATGAATGAAATAAAACAAGAGTTCACCGACTGTTTTATTGTCTCATTTCTTTTATCTACTTATTGGACGGGTAGGAAACAATGGATGCCTGAACTCCCATTGTGTAATTATCGGACTCCTCCAGGTAACTTTTGAACATTTAAATGGCAATGTTTAAAATTAGATATGCCTCATACTATTCTATATGTATAATTAACAGACAGACGGGCCTCAAACAGTCTGATAATTTTACACATAGAACAGTATTCGGCATATATACATTACTTAAAAAGAGGCAATGGCAGTTTGGAACAGGTTTTCAGCTCTCGGTACGTGGAGCCCTTAATTGATCGCTGTTGTAAATGACCTTGATCACCCCTACCAACATGACTAATGTGTTCGGAACATTTTATTTTCGGTGTTCTGCAAATTATACGCTTGAAAAAACAGGAAAATCTTATGGCAATCGGAAAGGCACAAATTTTTTCTTTAAATTCTATTATCTTCATGCTCACAATGTTTAACCATTCATTTGTTAAATAAACTTGGAAGTCTAAGTTTCTCAAAGTCATTCTGCAAAGCGATTTGCATTGTATTAATTCCTTTGTTGTCCTATGTGTAAATGCAATTGTCAGGTGGATTCCCTGACCAGAACACGTGATCTCGAGTATAGTTATGTAAAATTTATTTTGTCCATTTAAATGCATTGGAGATGCTGCTCGGTTTACTTACCCTTGAAGCGCTTGTGTTCCGTAGAGAACTTGAATAAATTACATTTTATTAAACATATTTTTATGGTTAACAACAAAATAAAAAAAAAGACCCATGACATCTTTCATAGTTTCTAATCTTTGTATTTTGTTCACAAGAACTTACTTTTTATTTTGCACTCCATTGACTTGATCAAAGTGTTCGAAGTAAAATGTTGTTAACATGTATTTGGCGTAAATGTTACTATTCGTTCAACGATTGGCCAGTTGCTCGAGGTAAAATCCTCTGTGCGCATTAATATCAATAGCCATATAAGGCAAACAAAGGTTTGTCAGTGTACATTGTAGATGATATTTCACATTTTTTTACCAGCGTATCGGTCGCTAGTGAGCTCTAATTCACGACTTCATTTTAACACACCCTCCTTTAGCCACCCTTTTCTGTTGAAAATCATAAAAGTCTTTCAGAAAGGTCTCGAAACACATTTTTTACAGGACATGTTATCAAAAGAAACAGACTATAGCAATTTCCTGTTCACTGCCAATTTTATTCATAAAACCGGTTCTATCCTATAACCTTTGAATATGTCAGCCTAAACCATCTTGAATTTTAATCAAAATAAAATTAGTAGGGGTGTTGATCACAGTCAAACTCTTCATGAAAATTCCTATATAAATGTTAACGGTTGTATTTGGCTCGCCACGAACAACAACATTTTTTTATGCGCCCGGATCGATAGATCCGAGGCGTATATTGTTTTTGTTCGGTCTGTTTATCTGTTTGTCTGCAAAGTTTAACTTTCGCCATAACTTTTGAACCATGAAGAAAAGAGACTTCATATTTTATATGCATTCTCCACTAATTAATTTCTTTCAAATGACACCAACGTCAATGACCTTCTGACTTTGACTGTGATCTATATGCTGAAAATAGTTTTTTTTCTGCGAACTTTAACCTTCGCCATACTTAACCCTTTAAACCATGAAAGACAGAGATTTCATATTTGGTATGCATACACCACTGACTAAGCTTTTTTAAATGACACCATGGTCAATAACCTTGTGACCTTAACTGTGACCTATACGCTAAATATAGCTTTTTTGTCGGCAAACTTTAACCTTCGCCATTACTTTTAACAAAGAAAGATAGAGACTTAATATTTGGCATGCATAATCCACTAATTAGGCCATTTCACATGACACCAAAGTCAATGACCTTGTGACCTTGACTGTGTCCCATATGCTAAAAATAGCTTTTTTGAACCTTCACCATATCTTTTGAACCATAAGATGTAGCGACTTCATATTTGCATATATGCATACACAACTAATTAAGTTTTTTCAAATGACACCAAGTTCAATGACCTTGTGACCTTGAATGTGACCTAATGCTGAAAATATGTCTTCTTTTTTAAACTTTGTTGCTGCCGGGCGCAAAGTGTTTCGGAAACACATCTTGTTTCCTTTAAGAATAATGATATCTACTGTGTTAGACTTATTAAACACTTCTTAACAGCAACAAATAGTACTCAAAGTTTGTCTTTTAATTCTAATTTGACATTTTCCTCCACCAGAAATATTTAACGCTGTTTGTCGATGCATGTGCATTTTAACTTAATATTTATTTGACCATCAAAAAGACTATAAATGACACATTGTTTCAAAATGATTTTTATATCAATCTTGTAAAAATGTAGAAAAATTATGTTATAAAGAAGTTAAGGAAAATATCAAATGTGCCCAAAAGGTAAAAAAGAATATTTGTGCAAATTGAACGGTTTTATCACAATAAATACACATGTGAAATATGAAAATCCCAGCATAAACTTAAAGTACTCTGGGTTTTATTATAAATAAAAGTAAAGAAAGCTATTAATAAACGATGATTTAATGGATACCATTATAAAGTTATAAAGTCATGGCCAATCTGGAGGTTAAAGTTTTGTATCATTTTTTGTAGAAGTGGGTCAAACGCCAAGGACAAAAGGTCAAATTTTGGGGTACCCAAGAAAGGTCTTGCCACAAGGAATAAAACCTTTGAAATGTGAAAGTCATTTGAAATGTGAAAACTGATATATTAGCTTTTGCGGACAAATAGACAAACAGACAGACAGTTAAACAGGCATAATGACGGACGGACAGGACAAAAACTATATATTCCCAAATCTTCAATTATGGGGGCATAATAAAT